TCCGCTGGCAGCCAAGTACCCAGGTACCTTAGTTTGGTTGTGCACCAGGAGAAGGCGAACTGGGAGCCCAGCTGACGGGCTCGCTCCTCTCCCTGCTTTATCGGCATGGCTTCGGACTTTTCCACGTTGAGTTTTAGGTTGGATACCTGGTGATAGGTGTGGAACGCCTTTAAGAGGTTGGGCATGGAAATCCTGGGTTGTTCCAGGAAGAAGAGCATGTCGTCCGCATAGGCCACCACTCTGTGCTCTTCAGACCCCACCGTCACCCCCGTTATGCCCCCGTCCTGTCTGACCGCCTCCAGAAATGGTTCAAGAGAGAGGGCAAACAGGAGAGGGGACAGGGGACAACCCTGCCGGTTCCCATTGCTAATCGGGAAGGGCTGCGTTAGGGCTCCGTTAATGCGAATCCGTGCCGTTGGAGAGGAGTATAACGCCGACACCCAAGATCGTATAGTTGGACCGAACCCCATTTGTCGTAAGGTCTCGTCCAAATAGACCCAGTCCACCCTGTCAAACGCCTTTTCGGCGTCCGTAGAGAGGAGGACTGTGTCCCTTCCAGAGGTTCGTGCGCAATGTATGATGTTCAGGGCTCGTATCGTGTCATCCCTAGCCTCTCTGCCCGGAATAAAGCCCACCTGATCTGGGTGAATGAGATCCGTCAGGATCCGTGACACCCTCAGGGAGAGAGCTTTGGTGAATAGCTTCAGGTCAGCATTTAGTAATGAGATTGGTCTATAACTCGAGCAATTTGATGGATCTTTCCCGTCTTTGGGGATAACCGTTACTATCGCCGCCAGGGAGTCCGTGGGGAACCGCCCCCGTCCTGTAAGGAGTTCAGGCCAGCTAGAAGTCGGGGTAGTAGGGCGTCTCGGAAAGTTCTTAAATATGTGAGTGGAAGGCCGTCCGGTCCCGGGGCCCTGTGAGGCTTGGAGCGTTTCATGGCTGCGGCTAGTTCCTCTAAGGTTAGGGGCGCATCAAGTTCCTCAGCGAGCTCCGGAGTGAGTTTGCGAGTCACATGTCGCGTTAGGTAGTCTGTGACTTTCCTACGGTGGTTTTGGGCTTCTGTCCCCTGAATTGGCCTAGCTTGGTTGTATAGGTCCCTATAGTAGGCCCTAAATGCTGACATAATGCCCTCTGGTAGTCAGGTGTGCTGTCCGTGTCCGGTGCGTATCTGGTGAATATATTGGGCTCTACGCTTCTCTCGGAGCACCTGTGCCAGGAGTCGGCCGCACTTATTCGAGTGCTCATAGAAGTGCCTGGCTGATTTCCGCATCGTGTGTAGTAATCCCTGGGATAAGTGTGCTTTGAGTGCCCTACGTGTCTCTGTAAGTCGTAGGTATGTGTCGTCGTAGAATATTGCATATTCTATGTTTCTATTGATTATATATATGGATGTGTGGATTGACATAAGTAACAGATGGTATCAATAAGTCACAAGGCTTTCTTTGTCCGAGAGCTCTGGAATGTGGATTCGGGGGTCTTTTCCTTATATGGCTAGAGTTAAATGCTGACGTTAGTATTAGCACATCAATATAGTAACAGAGGGACACGAGGTTGCGCTCAGTCTTGGTTTGAGTCTTGGCTTGGCTCTGTACAACAATGTAGCTCTCCCATCAGAAGTCCAGCAATTACCATCTACTGTTGAATGTACATTATCCGGTAACATCATTTATTATGTTTTATTATGTATCCGTAACAAAGAATAAACCTGAAGAAACCGTAAGTCAGATTGCGTATTACTACTTTTCAATAATATATACATATATTATTGTGGCGAGCGTTTGGCCCAAGAATATATATATCAATCAACTGAAGACAAGAAGAAATTAAGAAGATTCCACATTAACACCATTCATCTACATTTTTTACATTGGCTAGCCAGCCAGTCTTCTATTCAAAGTTTTGTTCCCACTTCAAGGGGGGAGAGAGAAGAATCGAGTTACAAAGCTATTTTTGAACTGGGAAAACAAACTTGAAGAGAAAAAAAGAATCTAGACTGTGGTTTGTAAGAAAAAGAAAGTTTTCAAATCACAAAGACTGTACAAGACTATTTTCTACAACTGAGACAAAAAGCACAAGATACAACGTGACTTCTAGAAGCAAGCATGTGGCAGAGATTGGCATGCGTCCAGATTCAAGCAAAGAACTGCGCAGCTGTGTGGATGAAGCAACGAAATAGACAGAAATAACTGATCTGGTAAAGCGTGACAGATCTATGTGGCAATAAATCAGGAAAGCATTCCTTCAGACAACTGGACATCGACTGTTGGAAAGAGATTTTTCATCTGATCTGCAAACTGTGATGGAAGATTCTACAGAGTTCATTCGATTCAGAAGATTAACAGACTTACAAAGAAATAAAAGATTGACACTAACATACATATATATTCCTAAATATTAATGAAGAAGAAAACAGACAATGAAAAGTTATATAACCGTTATGAGTATTAATACCAAGAGAGAGTACTTATAAATGTGTAACACATGGAGTAAA